AGCCCACTTTTGGTAGCTTTGGTACCTTCTTGCTAAGGAGGTGCTAGTGTTGGTCCCACACTGCTGAAAGTCCTTTTAAGCACCCTCTACATTTAGAACTCTAAAGAAATTGCCCAAGCATTCCATCCTGGTTTTGGCTCTGCTGATTTTGTTATTTGCTAATCTTCACTTAACCACCTCTTGAGTATATCATTCTCCAATCAGCTCCTAGAGGGACAGTATGGTCTAATGGAAAGAGCTTTGGAATTTTGCTTTGGAATCAGAGGAATTACTTACTATCTATGTGAAAGTCTCTGGGTCTCATGGATAAATGGCTTCTAATCTTTCCTTGAACTCTAGATTCATAATTCTGAATTTTTCTCATTCAATGAATCCGACCACTTGAGAAGTTTACTGTCCCTTACTTGGAGAGTTCAGCTCAGTTTTTCATTATGAAGAAAGCAATTTGGTAGAATATATTAGCCATAGGGCCCCCTATCCTGCAAAGGACTCTAGCTCTGAACCTTTAAAGAGGGAATCAGGCTTTTCTCACACTTCTTGGCTCAAAACGTTACCACCCCAGTTTAGAACTCTGAAAAACTTCCATACATTGAAGCCCAGGTATGGCTCATATCTATGGCGTCCCTTGTAAAGGATTGAGTGTACCTTATAAAAAGGTACTTACTATATCAAGAATAGGATATCTTTGTATTTCCTCTACTGCAAAATAGGTTTAAAATATAAAAGTCTGATAAATTTGTTTCAACAAATATTTAACCATGAATCAAGAATCCATCACCTCTATCATGCTCTCTTGGGAGACAGACTGCTGGGAAATGGAAGACTTGTGGAATTGCTAACCAGATATTTCACCTTCAAATTGGATCTGTACTCTCTGAGCAATTCACTAAGTCCCAGTCTTTTTTCATTTTTTTTTTAAAGTCTCAGTCTTTTGATCATCAAGAAATGGCTTAGATTTTTATGGTTCCTTTAGCTGTAGCAACCTCCTGGAAGTGATCTTCTCCTGGAAGAAATATGTAATTGCCCCACCTTCCTAAGGGAAACTAACCCTGACTCATGAATTCCAAATCTCTGGGACTACCAAGGTAGCCAATGAGACTGGAAATACCCATCCCTCTGGATTATTGTTTGGTGACCTATGTTTAGGGAAGGCGAAACAAAGCACGAGAGGCAGTTAGGGATCTAAGAATCCATCTTGTCCATACCCAGGCAAGTCATATATTGTTTGCCATTGCCATATGCACATTGAGGGCCGCTATGGCCACTGCAGGGGGGGCAGGAGTGGGTTAGGGTAGAGGGTGGTATAGAAGCAAAGAAGAGAGATTTTTTCTCCCCTCTTGCTAAAGATCCAAGGGAGAGATGACCTACATGTGTCCCAAAAAGAACTCTGATCCATCCAGATGAATCAGAGTTTTTCCAGACCTTTTGTGCTCTGCTGAGGGGGTGGCTATTTCTTACTTGGTTGCCAATTATCTTCAACATGGGCCCGTGGAGATACATAGTGACCAACTAGGAACTATTGGTTACCCATACTCTTTAGTAAGAGACCAGAGCATGCAACTCCCTGGGGAGGACCAGAGCTCAGGTCTTGGCCCATTTGAAGTGCAGCAGAACATGGTGGCTCCCTTGATTACCTCTATGCCAGTGTCTAGAACACTGGATTAGGAATTAGTAGAGTTGGATTCCAATCCTGGCTCAATCATTTAATGATCTATATAAAATTGGACAAATCATCTAATAACTTGTCTATTTGCACATCCTACAATGTATGGTATACCTCTTCTCTCCTCAAAGAAATAAACAACACCAATCACAACAACCTAGTAACACATTTTTCACAAAATGACAAAAATTACAAAATGTTTCAGTACTCTCTTTCTGCCTGTCAAAAAATACAAAAATAAAATATAGCACCCATAAAATTATCCAAATTCTTTAAGATGGAAAAAAAATATTACTTGGCCTCAGTTGACTTAAGTGAACTATACAGGGTCCATCACTTCAGATTCATCATAATCTCTATGGACCACAGAGCTGCAGAGGGCTACAGGTCCATTCTGTTTCTTCTATAATAAGAACTCACATTTCTATAGCATCTTATGTGAAGCACTTTCTTCATAGCAGTACTGTGAAGAAGGTGGTGCTAGTATTATTTTCCTGATTTTTAACAGAAAAAAAGGATCATACATTTAAAACTGAAAATAGCCTTAGAAGTCATTTTGTGAGTCCAACAACTTCATTTATACGTATGAGGAAACTGAGTCCCAAAGAGGTTAAGTGACTTGCCTCTGATAACAGATTATCAATGTCTGATTGGAGTTTTGTACCAAAGTCTCCTGACTCTAGGTCCATTACTCTCCCCAGTGGGCCACAATGGCTCCTGGTGAGTAACTGTATGAACAACTATTCATTAAATATATTCTTAATCAGTACTTCTCTTCTCAAAGAACATTTTTTTCATAAGATATTACAGAAAATTGAGCTAATGATGTACCAGTCAAAAAGACAGTCCTACAGTTTATTCACAGCAAAAAGCTCATTGAATTCAATTCAACAAAACTAAGTTAAGCACCTACTCTGTGTGTGTGTGTGTGTGTGTGTGTGTGTGTGTGTGTGTGTGTGTGTGTGTCCAGGCAACAGAAAATCAACAAAAGTTTTCACTACAATGGCCTGCCTTTTCCATATTAGATTAATTTTCAGTGGTTATCTAGATACATGTCCAAAATAACTAGATTGATACATTTAGTTCACTTCAAAAGATTTAATAACAGAAACAAATCTCTAAGGCTAAGATGTGTTTATGGGTTATACTGTTATTACTTTAATTTATTAAAGGAAGCATACAGCCTTGTTTATTCAAGTTGATAAGGGATTATGGTTTCCTAACTCTTCTAAATTTATGTGCTCAGATTATACTGCTTATTGATTTTTTTTAAGCAAAAGGAACATGTATGTTACAGTTACAAGAAGTGAGCCAAATTTAATTGTTGTTGCCGGCAATGCATGCCATAATGCAATTAACAATGATATTAGTGCTTTTATATTTGTTTAATCTTTGATAGCAAGAACAGATGGTTTCCTCAGCAAAGCAGAACACACTTGTTGTGATCACGTATAGCATGTTTGTTTTTCACTCTTAAGGGTTGTTTTTATTCAACATTTACTGACTGGAGGCACTGGGTGTGTATTCTCCTGGACAGGGAATCCAACAAATGGTAAAATCTTAATGGTTGATGTAATTGCATTCTAAAGGCTTTGTACATTAAAGGAGAACAACCAAGTAGCCCAAAATGAATTGGCAAGTTCTTCTGGCTCTTGCCTTGAACCTACAAAAGCCAGATTTACCAAATTTCAGATGTTGTCCAAATCTGGACAGCTACTGTTTACATACTATACTTTTCAATTCAAGACCCCCAAAGAGAAGGCAAACTCCTAGAAAGCAGGAATTATTACATTTTTATTTTTGCATTTCTAGGCCCAGGGCCTTGAATAGATTTTGGTAAATCTTGGTTGAATTAAAGGCATAATTATGTATAGCAAAATCCCACTGAAGCAATTAACCCTATCTTACTTATAAGGCCTCTGGATTGTGTGTGTGTGGGGGAAGGATAAATACCAGTTTTTTGAGAGCAGAGATTTTATATTATATATACATACATATTTACACACACATATTATATACAGTCTTTGTATCCCTAGCTTCTTGCTTATTGCCTTGAACATGATATGTGCTCAATAAACATTTGTTGGATTAAATTGGAATAAAATATATAGCTTTTTGTGGGTTTTTTTGGCACATTAATTATTACAGACCCCTTTTGTCTTTGGTTTTAAATATGTTTGGATGTTTTAAGCTTTGCTTTTACAAAAGCAATTAGAGTAGAGTAATATATTTTCTGATTTAATAAGAGAATGCAGTCATAAGATGAAATAATGAGGAAGTGTTCTTCCTTATTGTTAACATTTAGGGATGGATGTACATAAAAGTAGACCATGAAAGAATAACTGGGTCTAAATGAGATTTAAGTAGTCTCCTCTCCCAGAAAGAATAACTGCAATGACCTCAAGTCCTTAAAACATATAGTCACTAACCTGTTCACAGAATAAGCCACTGTTAGTCCATAATTTATGTTGGCTTTTCTTTTAGGGGACATGATGTCTTTGGGGGACTAATTTGTTCCCCTGTTCAAATAATCATCTTTCTGATCTGATAGTCAAGACAAGCAATGAGGTCTAAGAAACTAGGGGATGTGTGGAGGGAAAGAACACTGAAGTGTGTGGAATTCATTTTAATATTTTCTATGATTAAATGGGGTAGTGCCTTCCTTTCTTTCCTCTCACTCTTTATAGGGCCACTTCCTGCACAGTACCTACCACTGCTAACCACTACCTAACCTGTTTTCTAAGATGAGACCATTAGGACTTAGCTGGTCTGGCTTCTTTCGGGCCCCAGTAAGTTATCACAGTGAAGGATCTTTTTTCGTTTGTCCTCTCTTGGATATTCTTCGGACCCACGAGTTTAATTTTTGTTGTTTCTCAGAGAGGAGACACTATAATAATCTCTCCTCTACCTTACAAGTTCCTGTTTGGGGAGATCTTGTCCCCCCTCACCTCCGAAAGGTCTGATTTATTGTATTCTGTCTTTTCCTTTCTCTGCTCTTCATTCTACCCACATTTCCTTCACTCTTCCTAGGTTCAATCCTTTGGGTGAACTAGGAGAACCATCTTCATTTCATAGTCCCTCCACTCCCCTGTTACCGCACGCCAACCACTTGCACCACTGATTTCCCCCTCCCCTTTCAGTCCAGAGAAATGAAATTCCTTAAAGGTCTAGCCTCTCGAGTAAATGAGGTTTAACTGGGGTAGGGGGAGGGGGGGGTTGCACTGGCCGGCTCTGACCGAATGGCTTTAGAGACCCGCACCACGCAAAGGGAATTTGGCTGGCTCCCTCTCCTTTATTGGTATGAGACGCACAAGACTATTTACAGTAGGTGCAGAGCTGCTCCGTAGGTGCAAATGCTAAGTGGAAAGCGAGGCAGCTGGAGAATGGGGGGGGGGGGCAGCCCCGTATGTGTAGCCTGGAGTAGGTGAAGGAGGAGGAAGAGGAGAAGGAGGAGGGGAAGGAGATGGGAGCCTAAAACGGACTCCAGCGTGGTCCTGTTGTCAGATGTGTGTTTTCTTCTTTTCAATCTGGTCGGATTGGGGAGACGTGTCTGGGTTCTCAAGCAGTCAATGCGCAGGCGCAGGCCAGTCGGCGCCCCAGAGAAATGCTCTTGAACGTAGGAAGGAAGGGGATCTCCCTGTTTCCCTGCTTCCCTCTCCCTAGCTCCTTTCCTCTGTCCTCTTCCTCCTTCTCTTCCTCTCCCCGCTTCTTCCTCATCTTCGCTCCTCCAGCTGTCCGTTTCTCAGTCCTCGCCCTCTTTGCCTTCCTGACGCTCAGACTTTAGCCTTGCCACCGTTAGCGCGCAACCCGCTGCCCGGAATGCTGCCGGACGCGCTCCTCTTCCTCCGCAAGGATACGATAGGCGAGGAGAGGAGAGGATAGGGGGCAGGCTAGGCTAGCTCCGCCTAAGCTACCCCATCTCTCGCCTCTGCATGACTTTTTTTCCGTCTGGCTTTGCTCGATTTCGGCTCTTTGGATGGTATTGGGGGTCACCGGGAGCGTATTATCCTTTGAGTCCAGGAGAGACAAGGGGTGACTCTGTAGCCCTGGTGCTTGGCTCTTGGAGAGGCGGCGGCGGCGGCTTTGGCAGCGGCTCCTAGCTCGGGGGCGCCCTCTGAGCCCCTCTATGAGCTGGAGAGAAGCGGGGGAGGAGGGGCCCTCGGAGCATCTCTTCCCTGGGGTTTATGCATGGCACTGACATGGAGGAAACACCGTTTCGGAAAGTCAAAACGAAGAGGAGGAAGTGTCCACCCTGTGGCTGCGCCCCGCCGGGGGGCTCCCCGGTGCTTCTGGAGGCCATCGCGTGCGAGGACGAGTTCGACTGCAAGGAGCTCGAGTCCCTTTTCCGGAATTACAACCTGAAACTGGAACAGACCTCCACGCTCAAGGCGCTGGCCGTGCTCATCGTCCTGACGGGTACCCTGGCCCTGGGGGAGCTCATGTCCGGCCCCAACCTGACCATCTCCAAGGGCTCTCACCCCGTGCATTGCATCATCTTTCTCTCCCTCTTCATCGTTACCAATGTCAAGTACCTACAGGTCACCCAGCTCCAGCAAATCGTCAAACTCATACTGCTCTTCAGTTTCACCTTCGCCTTCCTCTGCTGCCCTTTTTCGCTGGGGGCCTACGGCATCGAGCCTCCCACCTCCCCAGAGCAGGGAATGTGGCAACTCATGCTGGTCACCTTCGTTTCCTATTCCCTGCTGCCGGTGCGGAGCCTGCTGGCCATCATCTTTGGGATAGTGGTGTCCGTCTCGCACCTCATCGTCACTGCCACTTCAGTGACTGCCAAAAGACACAGACTCTGGAGGACGGTGAGTCCATGGCTCCCCAAGTTCCCTCGACCCCTGCTTTCCACCTTTCTTCCTCAATTCTTCCTTCCCTCTCCCTATTCTCTCCAGTCATTGGAAGGGGGAATAAACACCCTAGGTGATACTCTAGGGTAGAGAGAAGGGAGCCTGTTTAGAGAACAGGGTCATGTGTGTAAGTGTGTGTGTGTGTGTGTGTGTATGTATGTGAACTCAGGACAAGGGACTCGTGCACGCCTGTGTACACACATCAAGGGGAGGCGGTAAAGGAGGGTGACTATGTGTGCAACTGTGTAGGTGTGTTCCTAGAGGCTTCCCACCAGCCCTAGAGCGGTCGCGTGTCTGCCCGCGCGGCAGCTTTAGGACGTTTGTACCTGTGTGCGCCTACCCTTTGCCCCTGGATCCCGGTCGGGCTGCTGCGCGTCTGCGTCGAAGGCTAGTTTAGAGAGACCGCAGGCCACTCAAAGGCTTGGGGAGGTCGGGTACCTGGCTCCGCCAGCGAGAGAGACAGGGTGTACGGAGTCAGGGACCATCGGAGTTTAGGCATAACGCCCACAAAACCCACTGACCCTACTTTGCCCTGAGAGGTCAGAAGAGCAAGGGTTGGCGAGTTTTAGCAGGTTAACCTCCCAAATGGGACATATAGGGGAAAAATGGGCTAGGTGAAGTCATGAGAGCTGAAGGGAGGAGGGGGCTCCCGCAGGCTTCTAGGAGGATTGGAGAGCTAGCGAAACTCCGAAAACCTGGTCCAGGAATCGCAGGATCTGAGTTTTGGACCTGGAAGGAACCTTAGAGGTCATTTAGCGCAAAACCTTATTTTTTTTTTAAACACATCAGGAAACTGAGGCGTCGAGCGGCGAAGTGAATTTCTGGGAGGTGTCCTTGCCCTATTCTTCCTGTACCGGTATTTCTTTCCTCTAGCTCAGTTGCACTTACTCCTGCATCCTTCTGGCTTCACGCAGTTCAGAGCCTGCAACTTAGCAAGGCTTCCAACTTTCCACCTGCCCAAGAACGCGAGAAATGTTTCCTTAGCTCTGCAGCATCCCGGGGACCGGGCCCAAGTAGGCAGTGGCAACTGCTGCTGCAGCCGCCACGGGCTCAACTGCCGGGGCAGCCTCCAAGACAAATTCCTTTTCTCTTTACCCCAGGAGCTGCTATTTATAGCTCTTCCGGACTGTGTGTGTGTGTGTGTGTGTGTGTGTGTGTGTGTGTGTGTGTGTGTGTGTCTGGGCGGGGAGCCTAAGGACTGAAGAAGCGGACGAGGAGCGTGTATACCTGTTTTGGCTTTCTACAACCAGACGCCAAATTTGTTTTGGTCTGCGTTACACTCTTCCCCAACTCCCTGAGCCGCCGCTTCGATTTGTTTTGGGCTTGCTCCGCGCTTGGGAGAAATGAGGGGCTTTTAAAAGGGGCCGCATGGAGGCTAGGTTTGGGCATGAAAAGAAATAAATCTTTTCTGGACAAATGTGATGCTATGGGAGGGAATCTCTCTGCGACGTCCGAAAAGACTAAATTAAGAGTAATCAAGAACTGGGAGAAGGATTTCGCGTGCTATTGGTATTGCTTTCCCCAGCGGGTTTCCTGGAGCGCTTCCAAACCGGTGGGTCGCAGTCACCCAGGCGAGCACTAGTCAAGTGGCTGAGACCGAGTCACTAATTCAGACATAGGGCATATTGTACACACTGGCATGCTGGTTTGAGCTGGACACATGCACTACAATTAACCTGGGAATCGCAGCTGCAGAGACTTGCCTAGTAAGGATTATTCATGGGCACACAGCCCTGAGCTGGGGCCGAAATACGGTTTTCTAGTGGGGGCAGGGAGGAAAAGGAAGGGATAATCTGGGCTTTATAATGCACCCTAATAAGCCAATGGTCTATTTTTAAGTGCCCGGTTAGCATTTGCCTTTTAAAATACCAGGGACACCATATGTGTAAAATGAAAAGCTTTTTTCCCTCTTTAAGAAAGAAAGCCTCTCTTTAATTCAGCATCCCTTTTACAGCAGCAGAGATTCCTAAAGAAGTAAGAGATAGGACTAACAAATTTATTTCCTGCGTGAGAAGACAAGCATTTTCTAAATGGCATGCCTAGGACCTTTGTTATCTTTGGTACAGGTGAAAACAACCAAAAGCTGTAGGTGGTAAAACAGGCTGGTGTAATGTGGAAAAATCATTGAACAAGAAACCAAAAAACCTGGATTTTACTCCCAGCTGTGCTGCTGACTAGCTTCTTGACTGTCTCTTAACCTCTTTATTACCAGTGACTCGACTAGAATATCTCTCAGGTTCCTTCCTTCTTTGGAATTCTGTTTTTAATGATAAAGCAAATCCCTTCTTGTTCATTAATAGTCACATCAAGGTCCTTCCTATCAGAACTGTGGCTATTAATTGGCACCAGGTTTCAAAGCCTTCTAAATCATCTGATAGTTATCTCCACTTATGCTTCCCCCCCATGTTTTTTTATTCAATGAGAGAAAATGGCCTACTTGCATATAGATGGCTAGCTTGATGGTGTATCTCTCAAGAGGAAGATGTTATGAGCTAAGGAAGAAACTCGATGAACTCTGTATTTCTGAAGTTGAAAAAATGCAGTTTACTTATCAATGTAAGGGTTAAATATATGTGAGTTAAAGTGGACATTTGCATGCATATAGTGCCCTCCTAGGGCAAAACTCTATGTGGAGTGAGCTCATTGAATAAATGGATAAATGAATAAATGCTTTACAGTGTTGTTTTGGGTGGTAGATAAAGGCAGGATACTTTCAGCACAATTTTTATTTATTTTTGTCAAATGCAATGCATAATTAAAACAATTATTAATATGACTTGATTATTAGATCTTAAAACTTTCGATAGGCTTTGTGTAGAAAACATCACAATGAAAGTTTCTATCACTACTGGATACCTTTGATTTTTTAAAAAAAAACTGCTTTATTTGTTAGGTTTTCATTTATCCCTTACTTGATCTTTGGGGTAGTAAAGGGGGAGGAGGAGGGTTGATGTTCAGTGTAATTATTCTTAATTAGGTATGTAAACCTTATATACTTGAGATGAGAGATAGTCCATTAGTATGACAGAAGATGATGATTAAGATGTAAAATTAGCACAACTGCAAATAACCATGCTCCCTCTTGCTGTTCTGTACCCCTGTCCTATTTCTTTGTGTAATTTAAACATCTGGAGTCGTTAACTGATTCTTGATTGTTCTTAGAAAAAAGAAGTATTTCTTAGGGAATTACCTTTAAGGAGAGGGAGGAGTTGGTGGGTTTCAAAGACCTCCATAGGAACTAGGGCCATCCGACTAGATCACTTAGGCCTGTCTCCTCCCAATCTAATTTTCAGTGAAATTCAGCAGTGTGTTTACACACACATGAACATACAATTACATGCACGCATATATACATATATAACTGTTATGTTTATATAATATATAACGTGTACATATATAGTACATATAGATATACATATTGAGCATATATACATACAGTGGAGTGAAAAATAGAGATTAAATAAGTTGAAAAGGCATGTTGTATAGAGGAAAAGTCAGAGGTTTGGGGATTAAAAGACTTAACTTTGAATCTGGCACTGTGACATTTCCAAGTTGAATCTCATACAAGTCACTTTATTCTTTTGGACATTCTGGCCCTTTCCTGCCCCATTCACTGCTAGCTCTAAATCTGTGGGCTATGACAATACTCATAGATTAGTTGAACAAGAAGCAAGTAGTTCATTTACATCATTTTACAAAATAAGGAAACTGAGGCTTAGAAAATTGAGTTTTTCAAAGTCACTCACACCTTGAACCAGAGCACTAGCCTGGGTCTCCTGGTATTAGTTCAGTATTCTTTCCATCACATCACCATGTTATCTCTAGCATGGAGGTACCATCTCTTTGGATCCTAGGATTTGGTGCTTTGCCCCCAAAATGGTGGTTTTTGCCGACTCTGATTACTTTCTTTTCTGAGAATGGGGAGATTGGCTTTTCAGAGCTACTCCCACCAGTTGTATGTGGCATGAGCTTGGATCTAAAGAATGCAGTGCTAGTGTGGCTTCCACCATCTCTGATGGTGTGGTCAAGTGACACCCTCAGATGGCCTTTTCATCTTGTCAGGACTGCTCTGTTTTATACCATAGTTGGTAAGGCTCTGGTCTCAGATATGCAGGAGTATATCCCTTGTATCAAAGATGCCCGTGGTGTGGCAGGTATTATATTTGTGGGATTTTTCCATCTCACTTAGCTCCAACCCCATCCAGAAACTTGAAATCTTACCGGTGGTCAGTCTAATAACATGGACAGCTAACTAAGTGGATAGAACACTGGACATGGAGTTGGGAATACCTAGATTCAGTCCAGCCTCAGATGCTTCGTAGTTCTGTGACCCTGGGAAAGCAACTTAATCTTTGCTTCAGTTTCCTCAACTAAAATGGGTATAATAATAGCCCTCACTGCAAAGGATGGTTGTGAGGATCAAATTACATAATATTTACACATTGTAAGCACTTAAAAATAACCATTCCTGTCTCCCCAGGCACAAAAGTTATATGAAAAGTCTTCTGTTTTCTAAAGCAAAGAAAGCTCACATAACATAACACCTTATGTGACAACTGAATCATAGTCTCACAAGCAATATTGCCTTTTTGCTACTTAAAGTCCCTGCATCATGCATCTTCCAGAAAAGATATTGCCCCAGGGGATCTGCTCTTTTGCCTCTAGGAGGTGGCTTTAAGGTCTGAAGAGGGAACAGATGTAGCCTACTGTTCTCTGGTGTTTTCACTGCCAGCACTGCCGTATTGCATGTGTTGCCCTAGCAGGTAACTCCAGGCATCCCCCATGTTCTCTCTGCAATCATTCTTGTCCACTGGATAACCTACAGGTACTATTCTTTTGGTGCTAGTGGCAGGAGTAAGAGATGGGGGGGGGGGTCTTTAAGGTTTCTTCTTCTAGTGCAGCAGAGGTTTATCTTTCTTCAGTAAACCAGTCTCTAGGAGGACTGATAGCTCTTGCAC